AGATCATCTGGAGCAGAATGAAGGCCATCAGTGGCTACATACAGTCCCATAATTTGATATTGTGAGAGATTATGGACAGGGTAACGAGTTGCATTTTCATAAACATATTTTTCTTTTCATTGTTACCTCTAGTGTGATAGCAAAAAGTATTTTTACCTTTCTTGTCAGACCCAGTCAGTCCCTCCACTACCTCTTCAGCACCCTGTGAGGTAGGGCTGCACGATTATGACAAAAATCATAATTGTTGATTATTCCCTTGAAATTGTAATTACGATTATTAATTACGATTAACACAATTTACATTGAATTATGTTTATACCATTGTTTGATGCAACTGCATGCCGTATTTTTATATGAAAATAAACGAGCTGAAAACACTAACTGAAAAACTTTTAGTGCTTTTCTATAGTATTAAGCCTCAAATATCAACTATACATCGGACTGGTTTCTTCTTTAAATTATAAAAAAAATATGAATGGTATTATTGTGTTATACTAAAACTAAAATTAAAACCATGGAAAAACCCTTAAGATAACATGTAGGAAAAAAACGCATCTTAAGCACACAGAATAACATAAGTGGACTTTGAACGATTAATTGCCGCTTTGAACGATTACGTAATTGTGGCATCCATAATTGTAATCGCGATTACAATTAATTGTGCAGCCCTAATATATATATATATATATATATATATATATAAACAAAAAGTAACGATAAGAATACCGCTAAAGTACCGAATCGATAAGCAGTATCGGTAAGAGTAATAATACCATTAAAACCTTAACGATACCCATCCCTAAATGCGCCACTTGAAGACTCAGGGCATTGGGAGAGTCCTTCCGATGGCAGCTCCTCCCTGTGCATGAAAGAGAGGTTCAAGGGTTAATGTTATGCAACAAAATGAATGGGCCCAGTGGAGGCACCAACACACACTGACATGCACAGCAGATTCACTGGCTACCATCACTGATGTATATTACTGGAGCACACAAGCCATGCTCAGTCTCAAACAGCTTGTGAGCCACAAATACCAAAATGAGTGGCTAACTGCGCTAAAACGTTCAAATACATAAAACATTGTCAAAATGCCCGTTTTGGTGAGTATCCAGTTAAACACAGTCAATTTTGGAACGTTAAATAGTTGAGAAAGAGAACGCGTGTTGTGTAACAGTATATTGGGTTCGTGGATAAAACCTTAAAGGGACCGCAGTCCAATATTTATGCTGCTGTCTGTCATGTTAATCAAAGAACAAAAGACAAAGAAAATAATTTTCTGCTCTTGACTGAATACGTTTTATAACTTTAATGGTAAGCATTAATCTGTATTTAATTTTTACAATGAAGACTACAGAAATTAAAGTAATCAAATGTAAAATAACACTGGATGTGTTATTTTACATTTGATTACTTTAATTTCTGTAATATTTCTTAACTGAATAAAAACTTACTTAACCTGAAAAATTTAGTTTCATAGCTCTTTTTATTCTATTGCATTTATTTGTGCTGTTGTTTGCCATTTTTATTTGTTCTTATTTTATTACTGACTTTTTACTTGTGTTTTTTTTTTTTTAAGTAGATTTTTGTTTGTATATGCTGTCAATTATAGTTCTTAGAAAGAAAATCGGAATCGGCA